ACCAGCGGGTCATGAGTCATGACCAGTAAATAGCCCCCATAATCTTCGCTTTCTTCGCTTATCTCTGTTACCAATGCTGGATATTATCCAATATAACCCCAAACCTTTTTTCCGACTTTTTTTCTTTGTGGGGTGGATGTGCTTTTTTCATATTTAATAAATAAAAAAATAAATATATTAGCTGCAAACGACGTATGTGGACTTAAGACCCCCACGTCGACGGTCGAGCCACACTACCTTACTTTTAGGGGGCTGGGTCAGCCAGCTCCGGTTTAGTACAACGGAGTTTGTAATTTATGCCTTAGTCTGGTTTTATCCGGTCCGATCTACATGTTTTTCCAGTTCCCACCAAAAGGAAATTTAAATTAAAAAAAAAAACAGGTTTCTCTTTTATTCTTTCATCTTGGGTTGGAGGAGGAAGAAGTGCGGCAATTGTATACAACAATGGGGAGGGACAAAAAGCGCACAAAGGAGGAAAAAGAAGAAAGGGATGGATGATGAGGTCCATGGAAGTCATGTGCATGAATATCCATCGCAGAAATATAAGTACACATGTCCATATATATTTATTTTTGGGTCACAAGTTGGGCCCCCTTTTTAAAAAGGGTTTTTTATCAAAATTCTCTCTTTTTCTCTCTCATCCATGAGGAAACCCCTTATATTACAACTTCCATTTGTTTGACCAATAAGTTCTAAAAGTGTGCTTAAAGACAAACTAAAGTACACTTATGGTTATTATTTTAAACTCAAAAAATGAAATCCAATCCAATGGGATAAATGGGCCACGTGGGCCAGAGCTGGAATCCCCACCACTCCACCCCACTGGCAAAGGTATATGTATATAGTAACTCAACCAATGGGTTCATCACATGCATCGTGTATAATACATCTAATATATATATATATAAAAGTAATATAAGATACTCTTCCTATTTCTCTCATTTGTCAATAATGCGTCAACCTCAATTTAATATACGACATACCCTTTCTATTTTCTTTTTTTAATTAATTAATAATAGAAGTGGGCTTTTCCCCTAAGGCCTCATCTCGTAAGCCCATTTGACACCGTGATTAATTTATATGATAAACTAATTTCTATGGATGGATAAGTATTCAACATTGGTGAATGAAATTTGAACTACATGCTATTTACGAAATGCCTTGAATACCCTTGTTACATTTATTACCAAACATTGGCATTTGGCAAATCCAGCCATGAGTCTCTTTCCAAGCCAACTAATTCTTAGTGCTTCTTCTTAGGGGGCTGTTTGCCTTACAAAATTAGAAGATGTTGGATGGACGACATTTATGAGAGGAAAACGACGTTATAATGGGGGAAATTTTGTAAGTATTCTTTTTATTAATTTATCAGAGAGATTTAATAAATAGGCACAATAAATTCGGATTGCTTTTCTAAAGATTAAATTAATTACATAGACAATGGTGGTTCATATGCTATGTAAAGGAAGTGGGGTAGGGGGTGAGTAGGTCACCTGCGTCTAGATTTTGTGTGGCGTCACGTGGCGATGCAACTTTGTTCATGCAACGGCCCACTCATTCGGTCACTAAATTAATGTGAAACCGATATGAGAGAGAATGTGAAACCGCTAGCGGACTTTACAAGGTACACCCTCCTAATAAAAGCCCCTAGAAAACACCAAAATTTATAAATTATAACATGCAAACCATTATTATAAGCCAAGGATCTGCTTCTCAAATGACAAAAATGCCCTTATCCAACCTAAATTTTAAACCCTAGTATATAATTATATATAAAAGAAAAAAAAAAATTAAAATTTGCCTTCAATACGAAGCAATGAAAAGAAAAAAAAAGAAAACAATAGTCGACCAAATCCATAAGCTTAATCATCACAATGTTTATGGGCTGTGACATGAGATCCATGTACGAAGATTATTCGTTTCTGTTAATTTATTGATATTGATATTTGATATTGTGTAACCCGAAGTGGATCTATTATTAGACCCATTTAAAATAGACCAAAAATAAAGACATGATAATATATTAACCTATAGGTTGATATTATCCATCTAATATATAGAGAGAGAGAAGTAGAGAGAGAAATAAAGGTAAATCATAATGGAGAAATTATAAAAGGGCAAGTACTTTTAATCATAATCTCAAAGATTTAATGATAATCATGAAAACATTAACTAGCTTACTTATAAACTCTCAAACTGGTTTCAACTTTACCTTCACCCAATTTTATTGGGGATGTGTTAGTGATTTACTAATGATGTAGGGTGATTTGGCCTGACGTAGTAATAGGAGGATACGTAGACATGACCTAACTAGCAGGATGACAGTTTAGTCTGATACATTAAGTCTGCAACGGATCGAGCTCGAATAACCAAACTACCTCGGGGCAAGTCCATCTCGGGATGAGTTCACCTCGATGCACAATCGCATCAGAACCACCTCGGTCCCAAGGCACTTCGGAATTCGTACCAGCTCGGGTAATACTGACCGACCACTGCATAGCAACCCCAAAGATCTTGCCACCAGATTCTACGCCTCACGTGATCACGCCTCGTAACAGCTAATATTATCTCCCCCGTCCAATTCGGGCGGAAGTGATGAATCTTATCAGTTGGCAGCGTTATCCCCAATTAACGCGGAAACGAACCTCATCATGACGAAGATTCCGGAACCACTCCGCGAAACCTGCGAGGGCTCCACTATATAAAGGCTTAACCCGCCGAGGGTGAAAGGTACGCATAAACTCTACTCTCTAGCTCTGTTGCATTCTAAGCTATTATCAGCTCGCAACCAAGTACTAACTTAAGCATCGGAGCGACCTCGTCGGGTAAGTAAACCCAGATTCTCTGATTCGTTTTTTGCAGATCAACCGAATTCATCGTCTACTGTAAGCCAAATCACCTCCAACTGGGAACGATCGAATTGCGCTACATCAACCAATATACTGAAATTTTGAGAAACTTAAGACATTTTCCGATTTTAATTTACCATAATAGGTGAGCAATAGTTACAAAAATTGTCATGGACTGAGTCCAGGCTTTAGTAAGAAAATGAATGCACATATTGAAACTTTGAACCATGGTTACCTACCTAAAAAAACCATGGTTGCCCCCAATAAATAAATAAAAAAAGATATGGTATAACAAGTAAGATGTTGCTCTTTAAAGGCACACTTCCTTAAATTTGGGTATGTGTTATGCTTGTATAACCCACAAATATTATGGATATATGTGGGTTACAAGTGTCCTAAGATTTGTATCGTTCATTGCTCAATCTTGAATCTTATATGTTGTAGGATCAAGAAACATTTGGCTGGTGAGAAAATTAACAAGCATGTTAGTTATACATATTTATCATGTTCCATAACAGTCTCGCCCACTTCCTTAAATTTTTAGTGGTGATTGAAAATAATAATATAATGAGCCCTCTTGATCAATGATATTGATAGTTTGGGGTACATAAATTAAAGGTGGTGATTCGGTTGGTAGGATTTTTTACTTGTTATATCAGAAATCTGCGATCAAATCTCGTTGCCACTAATTTTAGGCGGGTTAAGGGATAGGGGTGTAAACGGATCAAATTCAAATTATATCAATAAATATTTAAATTCAAATCTGATTAAAAATTCGATATCTAAATTTGAATAATTAATTAGTTTAGATAATTAATAAATATTTTATTGATAAAAAATATATAAATATATAAATTATTATTGTAATTTAATTATTACATATATATAAATTATATAAAATACTATACTTTATATATTATATATAAGAATTAAATAATCAACTAAATTCAGATATTTATCAAATCAAATCAGATCATATCCAAATTCGATTCGATTATATTTAATATCGAATGCAAAATTGGATTTTCAATACCATTTACACTCTTATTAAGGGATGGGACTAAAAAAAATGTGATGCGAGTGAGTGAGAGAGAGTGTGTGATTGTGATCCTAACATATAAGAGAGAGAAAGTGTGTATGTGTGTTTGCATCCTAATATATGGCAAAATTACTTATCGCAATTTTAACAATAATTTGAATGAAAACCTCATTTTTTTCTATATTAATGGAACATGCACTGAGTTGTGATTACTTTGAACATACCCTGACATTTACAAAACCGTACTTATATGAGACAAGTTAGTAAAAATTTATCAAAATTATTACAAATTTAGTAGATAATACACAACCTACAAATAATGATTGGGATGGATTCGGTCTGCCTAGGGCCAATTAGGAATGTCGTAGAAAAGCTCCGAACTTTCTAAAGATTTTTGTTGCCTCCATTTTTCGAAAGTTTTAAAAGATAGTTAAGCAATTTGGTACTTTTGAATATTGAAACGCACAAAAAATGTTTGCTTCACAGTTTATATTGAGTAAGAAAATTGTTCAAATAAACCCTTGATTTTATACTAAATTAATTTAGAAGTTAGGGAACTTATACAATTTTAACAGGGAGTTTCAGAATCATAGATGCGTTTAGATGTTTAAGTGAATGGTCATTTAGATCTCTAAAAAGCAAGAATTTCATATTTTAAAGGTCGGTTCAATTCTATGAAATGCAATGAATCCCGAATAAGGGATAATCATTTGAAGAATTTATAATTACCAACAAAAATTGAAGATTTTATAATTTGTAATAATGTGCTCCTTTCAATCATTTGTTACTTTTAATTATCAAATTATAATTTTGCATAGTTTGTCATCTGGAAATTTTTATGAAGATGACAAGTTGAAAGAATAATAAAAAGGAAAGACAAGACAAGACTGGGGAGGATTATGGGAAATTTCATTTTGTTTTGTTGATACAATGCCCCTACTCGGAGCAAAAAGAAAAAAGAAAAAACCTTGGGTGTTTGAAATTCTTTTTTCTCAAAATATTTAAGACCATTTTTTCCTTGTGTGTGTGTGCCCGAGATATACTGATATGGAGGGGTATTTACTCTACTCTACTAGTTGGTACCAACGTTGTGCCTTTGTCTGGTCCTCTCCCTCTCTCTCTCTCTCTCTCTCTCTCTCTCTCTCTCTCTCTCTCCTATATACTTTTCTTCTCTCTCCCTCCTGTCCTTCACTCCAATTATTTCCTCAAACAGCACCCCCAAACAAAACCGGTCTGGTTTTTGGTTTCAACTCTGCTTGAACAACAACCTCCACCCCTTTCTCTCTCAAGTACTCACCGTTAATATGTTCATCACTCCTTTCTCTCCAGTTGCTCGTCTCACTCCCCGAGCTTTTCTGCCTTCTTCTCATGAGCCCATGTTTCGCTTTCTCAGTTTCGTGGTTTTGTAGATTGGTGGTTTTGCAGGATGGATTTTGGAGTGGTAGGTTTGGATAGTTTTATGGGTTCTGAAAGTGGTTTGGCTTCTCTGGTTTCAGAGTCTGAGGCTAAGCAAAAGGGGTACGGATCTGGATTTCTTAAGCAAGAGAGATCTGGGACTGCTGAAGATGATTGGAGGAGCTTTAAAATGCCAAGAACTGATGATTTATCGGCCTCGAAAACAATGCTGCTTCAGCAGAGGACTCCTTCCTTACTAAGATCTAATTCCCTGTTCGCTGATCAGCCCCAGCAGCAGATGCTGAGTTTTTCTTCTCCAAAATCAGAAGGACTGTTACTCAGCAACGATAGTGTTTTAGCGGAGAGGAACTTGCAAAACGCTATGCTGCCTTACTATCACCACCCATCGTCTTCATACGCAAGGAGTACAGGTATAACCACTGTTCATACATGTCGGCCTCTGAAAACCTATATGCATGGGTTCAAATAAGTTACCTGCACATACATATCTTTTCTTTATTGGATTTTTGGTTAATTGGTTGTGTGGGTTTCTATGGATCTGAGTTTTTGTCGAATGAGTATAGGTAATGTGGGTGTTTCTGAGTCCGGAAGATGAGGCCTCTTTTTCTTGGAGCAGAACATGGGTTGGGTTACTGGTTATTTAGCTTCGATTACCAATACTGATGCAGAAGGGTCCTTTCATGGACACTCAAACTCGGTGGAGATCTTGGTTTGAGTCTTGTCAAGAAAAAGAAAAGTTTTTTCCTTTTCTTAAAAACTTGGTCTTCCTGTTTGGGTCGGATGGGTTTGGTCAAGTTTTCATCACAATAGTTGGATTAGTGGCAACGGAAAGGAGAGAAAAAAAATAAGTGGAGAAAGGATAGGAAGAAAGGAGTGGCAGATGCCAAAATAGTTCTTTTCTAGTTTTTGGTTCTCTCTCCTTGCCTCTGATTTTGTATACTTGTTTCATAAAAGAAAACTGTAGTTCATGTCTCGTGTTTTCTTCCTTAAATATTTGCAGACAAATTTATAAGCTTGGTTTCCCAGCCAGACCTCTTACTGGGTTCTGCCGCTTGCTCTTTAAGGCCGAGAGATTTTTTCTTTCTTTCTTTCTTTCTTTCTTTCTTTCTTTCTTTGTCTGCTCACTATGGTCCGCGATGCTTTCTCTGTCTTTCGTTCATTTTTTGCCTCTAATTTCTCAAGGTCTCGCTTTTGCAGGTTTGAGTTCTGGAAGCTTGAACGCAAGCATGCATGGGGTTTTAACAGGGGTTAGAGGACCATTCACTCCATCTCAGTGGATGGAGCTGGAACACCAGGCGTTGATCTACAAGTACATCACTGCAAATGCGCCAATACCATCTAATCTTCTTATCCCCCTCAGGAAAGCCCTCAACCCATCTGGGTTTTCCGGCTTGTCTGCCGGATCCCTTAGACCCAGTACACGTAAGCTTTCTCTTCCTTCAGAAGTAAAATGCGAACACTGATTTCCACGCAAGATCTATCGCAACATGAGTCGATAAATCATCCTAAGCACTCGATATCTAAGACTGGGTTCTCTGTTTTCTTTTCGTCCCCCGAAACAATCAAATAAAACAATCGTATTCTAGCTGATTCCGTTATATTTTATTTATCTTCTGTGCCCATGCCCTACCGTTTGTTTTTTCTGGGCATTGAATGGAACCATCTTGCAATGATTATTGTAGAGTGATTTAACAAAACTTGAAGTGTTTGACAAATTAACTATCTGTTTCGCACAATTTGATGAGAGACCATGCTATTTACTTCCTCTGATTCCTCTCTTTTTCTGTCTTGCACGTCTGCAGTAGGATGGGGTTCTTTCCATCTAGGTTTCTCCGGCAACACTGATCCTGAGCCCGGGAGGTGTCGTCGTACCGATGGGAAGAAATGGCGGTGCTCAAGAGATGCAGTTGCCGACCAGAAATACTGTGAGCGGCACATGAACAGGGGCCGCCATCGTTCAAGAAAGCCTGTGGAAGGCCAGACTGGCCATGCCGTTCCGGGACCCACTACCACAAAGGTAATGCCATCTGCGTCCGCATCGGTGGTGTCTAGTAGCGGTGCATCCAACAGCGTCGCCATCACACAGCACCAGATGAAGAGCTTGAATACTGGTGCTGTTAGTCCTTCTACAACTACTCACATCAACAGGTGAGAAATAACTGCTCTTAGATTTGGGTTTTGTTTCCTTATCTTTCTACATTAACTAAATAACTATCATGCAGTATGAGAGAATATGAAGAGTTGTATACATTTCTTCTCCTGTTCGTTTGATTTTTTTTAGTTTACTTGGAGGGATTTGCGTTAGTGGACGGGAATCCTTTATTAGCCTTATTTGAAAAACTTCTACTTTTGGGTTCAAGGGGTATTGTCACATGTAGAAAAAATAACCTATCCAGGATTACCTTTACCTTCTTTCATTTTTTTTTTCTTTGTTCTTTGTCTCTCTAGCAGGATTTTGCTGAACAAAGAGAAGTTTGGTGACCAAGTCCAAGATTCCCAGGGCATGTCCGTGCTATCTCCCTCGATGAACCCGAAAGCTAAGGATTTCTCCGTTCCAAAACAACAAATCCCATTTGAGGATTCCTCTCGTATGGAGTTTGGACTTGTCTCCTCAGATTCCCTTCTCAACCCTTCACAACGGAGCTCATATATGAATTGCAGAAACTTTAGTTCATCTCCTGAACTCAATGACAGAGAACAACAACAACCACAACATCCCCTTCGGCATTTTATTGATGATTGGCCCAAGAACCGCTCTGATCGCTCTGGCATTGCCTGGCCTGAGGTGGAAGAGATCCATTCGGATCGGACACAGCTCTCTATTTCAATCCCTGTGGCTTCCTCCGAGTTCTCTTCATCCTCGTCTTCACCCACCCATGAGAAACTCACTCTCTCGCCACTAAGGTTATCACGCGAGTTTGACCCAATCCAGATGGGTTTGGGGGTGGGTAGCATCCTCAATGAACCAACACAAAGGCAGACAAATTGGATACCCATATCATGGGAGACTTCCATGGGTGGACCTCTAGGGGAGGTCTTGAACAATACCAATAATTCGACTGGCGACTGCAAGAACTCATCAGCCCTTAATCTGATGACGGAAGGGTGGGATGGCAGCCCAAGACTGGGATCATCACCAATCGGAGTCCTACAAAAAGCAACCTTCGGATCACTTTCCAACAGCAGCTCAGGGAGCAGCCCAAGAGTGGAGAACAAGACCCATGATGGGTCTAGCCTCTGTGATGATCTCCTGGGTTCAGCTTTTGTAAATTCCTCCTCCATCCCTTCATTGTAAGCATTTGACACCAGTAGGTTGGGCGATGGAAAAAAGAAGTGATGTAGCTGCTGATAGACTGAACAATTTATCTAGGGAGTTTTGCTTGGCATGTTAATTTCATTAATTTCTTTTCCATGTGATCTTTTTTTCTTTTAATTTTTGGTGTATTGCAAAGCAGGATCTTCGGTTAAATCTGAAGAACTGCGGAATTAGCCATTTTGGTTCTGATGGGTTATCTATCGTTTAAGATTGTAAGCTATATATGTTCTGCTTTCAGAACTCCGGTATCATGCAGGATGGGCCTCGTTTGCATTCGACGACGAATTGTTTAAATACAATTCTCATGAGAATGTGAATCTTATCCAATTGAGTCTCTACTGATAAATGATGATTTGTGTATTTATGTGAAGAATTGCATATGAATATGAAGGAACCTAACTTGTTCTTTTTGTGTTGTCTTGGATGGGTCGGAAACAGGGGGTAGAGGAAATGGGTGGGGTCCTCGGAAATTGAAAATTTCGCCATCCATGGGCCTTGTTGCCGAATAGGGGGGGAGGGGGGATGGAAATTAAACAATAAAAGGAACGGAAAGGAACAGTTGACTGCCACAGCAACCTTTCAAGACAAGGGCCTTTATTTGTTGGAGCATTGTCCCTTTCTCCCTCTACCCTGTTTTAAGACTTTAGAGACTGATGAAATTGATGATGGGTTACGGCCCGCCAACTTGGGATGATTGGATGCTTCAATCAATCATACACATAGTTGTCTTTTGACTTGGCATCACTTCCGCTGTCGGGAGGATGAAATCTCTGATTGGAAGATTATCAGCTTCTGAGCTCACTGGACTGCTGTTGTCTCCTCCATTCAACTCTTCATGCTGTTGGGAATTGGGAGGGCGTGGTTTGTTTGCTGACTTGGCCAGCTCCGAGCCAAGTATTGTCGGTGTCAAGCCAGGGGCTTAGCTCATTTACCTGAACCAGTTTTTAACTTTGGTTGAGCCTCTCTGCCTCTGTTAGATTGCTCTGTTTTTTCTTTTTATAAAATGCAAAAAGCGAACACGCATTTTTGTGGGTTTTACCTCTTCTTTCTTTCTTAGTTTGTACAGTTATATAGTTAAATTACAAGCCCTCAAAAACTCAGCTTAACTTAAAATAAATAGACCAATCCTTCACTCTTTGACTTGCAGCCACAGATGATGACAGACAACCCATAATCATATGCAATTGGAAAAGGGTAATTGAGCTTGAAAATGTCTCCGGCGGCCAGGCGCGATGGATTTGGCTCTGAACGGAATGGCGAAACGGGTGGTATCATGTAGATCCCAGGTAGTTGGAGCAAGGCTTGTTATAAGATTTATGTGGGTTTTCCTGTCTTGTCAATTCCTAACATTTCTCAACATAAAATTACCTTTCCAAAAACGTTTTGTGATTCTGATGCTAAAGAATCTAGACCTTGCTTTGGGTGACTGTATAGATGCTAATAATTTACATGTACTGGACCCGTGTCGTATGTAAAAGCTCCCCCACATATCTGTAATCAAGTTTGAAACTTTATTAAACAAAACCCAGAGGATTAGATTAAGGTGGATGGGGACTGGGGACTTGGGGATTAATGATTGGGAGAAGTTTTGTGAGGACGGCTTGTGCGCCCAAATCACCTCTCTGTGTAAAATTGTATTAAAGGACTGATCTCTCTGATCAATGGAAGCATAAAACATAAGTATATTTGTCTTTACTCTTTTACACTAAGAAGTGAGAACACGCCTTCATCTTTATTATGATAATACCAGGGGGTTCCCATGTTATTTCCAATAAAGTTTACTTTCTTTTGTTCATGTTTGTTTTAAAACAAAAAGCAAAATTGGAAGGAAAATTTTGCTTCCCTTTTTCATTTTTTTCTTTTGTGTCTCCTGACCTCAAACTGGAAAGAAAGCTATATATGGGACCTTCCACGGGTTCATTCTTCTTGGCCACTTTAATACACCGATACTATATATGCTTTTCTTATTCCTTGTAAAACGAGGAAACTAAGCTGTAATTCCAGAGTGTATCGTCGTTGTCCTACTCACATCAGACCAGATGGTTGATCCAATGAGCCTGTCTTTTCTGGCTCCCCGTTATTAGATTACATGTTTTTTCATGGTCACCGTAAGTCCGTGGCCCACTCAACATTCTGGTTCTCCGTCTGTCCAAGTATGACAATGTTAGGACTTCAATCATTTGGGACCCCTACACATATTTCCCCGAGTTGTTTCTCGGATTCAATTGACTTCAGTAATAGCAGAAATCCACTAATCTAAATCCATTTAATCAAATTAGTTAAGTATGTGTTTGGTTCCATGGATAGGCTATTTATTTGTATTTTTTCATTTTAAACGTTTTTCACTTTAAACGTTTCATGTTTTTGTTGTTTGGTTGGATTTCACTTTAAGTGTTTTTTATTCTCCACCTAAGATTAATATTCATTAAAGTGTGTCACATCAGCATTTGGTTTCAAGAAATGATGAGGCGTTGAGGGAAACAAGAATTTTATGTTTCTCCAAATGCCACATGCACAAAAACCAAAGCATTTCAGTTTTCTATCATTTATTTGATAAATAGGAAAACCAAGTAGTTGTTTCATTTTGCTTCATATACAATAAAGACCAATGATTATGTGGCGTTGATGTGGTGGCGTTTTTTCAACAAATGCTCACGAAACCAAATACAGCGTAAGTGGCATGTACATATGCAAAATGAAGGATAAAGTGAGACTAATAGGGTGCGGAGAAAGGAAAATAAATTGAGAAGTATTAATAGCTCTGTGGTTTTGGTGGCTCCCTCGTACTAGAACAATGATATCAAAGCTGAAGGTTCAAGTGGATACGAGTATTGAAGGAGAATATAGATGCAATTGGATATTGGAGTCACGAAAACTTGGAGGAAAAGTTCTAAGGTGTGTCTAAAGACATTGTTTTTAGAACGTTGTTTGCCCTCACTCAATTTTACTGAATTTGTTGTTGGATTATAGGCATATCCATTCCCAAAATACAATAGAGCCTTGGGCAAAAATTTATAACCAGCAAAGTTGAGAGTCTTCGAAGATACCTTCCGTGAGACAATAGAAAATAGAATAGAAAGAGATAACAATGATTTTCGAAAAAACTTGTGCTCAATTGCTTGATTTGCAATCCTTAGAAAAAGTAGTTAACAGTTAATGACTGTTAATTTTGAATAGTGCATATTAATCACACTTGAACGGATTGTGACTATTGAAATCATCAACGGTCATCCTGGCACCAAAAGGCAAAGTCGCCTTACACGGACCACGTGGGTGTGCGCGAATTGCAAGCAAAGTGCACCTCTAAAGTGCCTCATTGCACCGCATACACGGTGCAATGCATGCGCACGCATTGCGTGGTAGAAAGCCTCTACTCCATATATTTCTAAGGAATGCAAATAATCTCTTATTTAAAAACTTAAAACAAGTTTAGTAATTTTCCAATGTCGGACAAATTGAAAACAGGTTTTAGTAAGGCTCCATTTGGTTTGTGGGAAGATTTGGGTGGGATGGGATGGTGTAAAAATTAATCTTTCCATTGTTTGGTTTATATGGGAAAATAGAAGGAAAAGTACCGAGAGAGATGGGAGTGCTGAGAAGGTAGATTGCCGCTGCCGAGAGTTGCAGCGGCAACCAGAGAAAGAGGGAAATGCAAAGAGGTGAAGAAAACAACGTTTAGAGAAAGAAACTGATCTGGTTCATTGCTGCCACACAATGAAGAAAACAATGACGGATTGTGCTACCGTCGCCTCCTCTGTTCAAATAAGGAAGATTGCCGCTGGTCTGTGGTATGGAGACTGTTAATCGTTGGTTCACCGCCGCTATCAAAAGGAAGGGGACTGTTCTCCATCGGCACTAGTCTGTGGTAAGGAAGTTCGTTACCTTACTCTAGTTGAAGAAGAAGGCACATCCCTTCGAATGATTTTTCTCGAGTTTTTCCACCGGGGTCGCACTGTTTTGGTGTGACCCCGAATCCACGATTTTGGGTTCTTGCATACCACCTTTTTCTCATCCCATCCCCCTTTTTCCCTCAAAACAAATATGAGAAAAGTCCATTTTTCTCATCCCCATCCCATAAACCAAAACGGAGCCTAAGAGAAAGGAGAGATTGTTTGGAGAGAAAATAGTCTCACGTTAAAGGAGAGATTGTTTTAGTGACTCCCTTCATTGTGGAAATTTGCTTTTTATTGGAAATTATTGAGTAAAAAAAACTTCAGGTTGGCATCTGTTTGCAATAGGAAGAAACAATTACACAATTTCTCTGATAGACAGGATTAACATGAAAGATGGTACTTGTGTTTAACACAACCATATTATGGGCTTTCAATTTATGAGTTTTCTGAACCTTGTAAAAAACCATTTTCACCATTTAATACGTCATTAGACACACTTCTTTATGTTTCAATTTATGTTGCAACTTTCTAATGGGTTTATTTTGTTGCTTCGACTCTTTTGCTATCCTCCTCCTTTTTTCTTTGTTTCTGAGATTCAAAACCTTGTTGATGAAGAACCATTACCACTACTGATGGTTTTATTTCTATTTAGTGGACCCATCTGCAAGGTTTTCACTTTAAGCCTACAACAATAACATAGTAAAGGTTTTATGTTAGAATCCTGTCAAATAAAGCAACAAAAAAAAAATGGTTTTTAGTTAGGGGAGAAATATGGGTCTCTCTCTCTCTCTCTCAGCTATCAGCAGATCCCGACGGCACCCCATATGGCATCGCCGCTCGTGAAATGAGAAAACTGCAAGCAGCACAAAAAGTTGAAATGCTTTCTGTAAACATTTTCAAACATAAGCACATCCAAATTTGTAACGTTCCCAATTGCTAATTATTAAAAGGTTAGGAGCGGAGGGAGTCATTCCAGCATTTTATAAGAGGCATTAGAGCCAAGAAGAAGAAGATGATGACGATGGTGATGAAGACGCAAGCGACGAGCACCCTTCCACTTAATTTCTATTGGCAACCTGAAAACGGATGTTGATTTAATGAGCGTTTAAGTATTAAATGCAATGCAAAGATAAAATGAAACGATTATGGTTTGGAGACGGAACTAGGATAAAGGAAATGTGTGGTGAGAATAGTTGATTCTTCTGCTTTATTCAAACTAAACAGTATTAACTATTAAGTGGGTCTATCTTTTTGACTATATTTTCCATCGGCGAGGAGAAACTGGGTCTTCTCTGTCCTTTGAAAAGAAGCCCAGGCATCCTTTTTTTTTTTCTAACTGAGAGGCCA